CAACCTAGTGGCAGACACCGCTAGCTCTGCCCCTATCTTCTGTGAGTTGGAGAGGATGGCAGGGGAGGCACTTGTGGGACTAGTATATTGCTGTCAGCAATTGGGACCACCACAGTAGCTGAACTTAATATCCCTTTCACATGGGGAAAAGTCTGGGTAAAGTACATGACAAGTGGAGAGGGTGAGAAATTACAGCTGGTAAAGGGATGGATAAGTGGGTTATGCAATGAGGGAAACCCGACTTAACTAGTGCTGCAAGAGAGGCTCAGAGCAACAGAACAGTATTAATTATCTCCTAGCAAAAGCTACCAGGTAACCATCGTGAAGACCACCTGTGCTTTTGGAAACATGACACTGAATTACAGTCTGCAAGCCAGAGTTACATTACTCTGGTTGAATATATGGTCTATGGTCATAAGACTGTACAGGACAAATGAGTTGTCTCTTTAAATCTGTGTCCACCCCACACGGGCTTCATCAAATTTTAGGCCTATTTGCATTGGTCCCACTGTTTTATTTGTTGTGTAAATGCCATTCCAGATATAAGTGCTCGGACAGGCATGATCATTTTGCTGTACAGAAACTGTATTTGAAGACCAAGGGGGAAGGAGACTGTGATATAATGACTGATGAAAAAATACATATTTGATCATTCGCATAAAGAAATATATATTTCCCAGGTATATTTGGTCTTTATCCACAGTTCCTGAAAATGCTGAATAGTCTTAAAGGTGAAACAAGTGTCTTGTCATCTTAATGAGACAATTGGACCCCCACCCAAAGGCGGGGGCTGCAGGTTGATCCAGACAATGGACAATAATTTATCAGTCATGGCTATAGAATAAAGCCATCACAAAACCCCTGAGAACAGCTTGATGCCGTGTTCTCTTGGATCCTGCTTTTCAGGCTGAAAGGGATTCTAAGCTTGGGGAACAAAACCACCTCCACTTTACATTGAGTCAGGACCCAAACTCCATGATAGATGCCCCTTTATTTGGGACCTTGCCCTGTGTCTCCCTTCATCCTTTTGTTAACTTATATCCTTTATGGTATTCCCTCACTAAACTGATAAACATAAATATTCCTGTTATGTGAGTCACATTAGCAAATTAATCAAAACCGAAGGGGAGGTCATGGGAAACTCTAATGTGTAGCCTGTAGGTCAGAAGCACAGGTTAACTGCCTGGGGCCTGAAACTGGCATCTGGAGTTGGGGTAGGGGTGGAGGGCACTGTACTATGCAAACATCCCCTTTTAGACTTACACAAATTATGAAGTCAATAACCTGATCGCTATTAATTTGGGTCATTCCAATAAAAAATACTCTTGAGAGTAACTTCTAAAAAATTTGGTGTCTTAGTATTATGTAAGTCTTTCCTGGCTAATTTAGATTTTCACTCAAACATTTTCCAGCTTATTTTGTACCTGTAAAGTGTCTTTTATGAAGACACTCATTTTTAAGGTATATGTCTTGGGCAATGGTGTTTCCATACTACTGATACTGGTTATGTTTTCTCTCCACTATGAATTCTCCCACACACTCTGTGTGAGGAACAGTTGACAGCTTTCCCACTGTATTCAAATTTGTACATTTTTTCTCCCATCTGAACACTTTCATACTCCCTACATTTATAGTTTACCCAAGAGTCTTTCTTGCATCAGTGGATATATCATATTCTCTCTAGTATGAGCTTTCTGCCATGCAGTAAGGCTTGAGCACCGCTTAAAGGTTTTGAAACATTCCTTGTGTTTCTTCAGTTTCTCTCCAGTATGTATTCTCTGAGGAAGTGTAAGTTTTGAAGACATGAAAAACATTTCCTGAATTCCTTACGTTTCTAAGGTTTTGTCCAGAATGAACTCTCTGATGTCGAGTAAGGAAGAGGACTAGGTAAATGCTTTGTTACATTCTTTACACTTTTAAGACTTTACTCCTGCATGGATATTCTTGTGTTTATTTACACTTAATGAATCACTAAAGGCTTTTGCACATTCTCTGCAATTGCAAGGCTTCTCCCCACTATGAACTCTCTCATGAACTTTAAGATTTGAGTGACATGTACTGTAAAGGGTTTCCCGCATTCTTAGCACTGATAAGGTTTCTCTCCTGTATGAATTCTCCGATGTCGATTAAGGTCTGACTTCCACTTAAAGGCTTTTCCACATTCTTTACACTTGTAAGACTTCTCTCCAGTATGAGTTCTCTCATGCATACTAAGATTTGAGGAAGAAATGAAGGATTTGTTACATTCTTTACACTTGTAAAGCTTCTCTCCAGTATGAATTCTCTCATGCATACTAAGACTTGAGGAAGAAATGAAGGCTTTGCCACATTCTTTACACTTGTAAGGTTTTTCTCCTGTATGAATTCTATTATGCACATAAAGACCTGAGGAACGAGTAAACGATTTGCTGCATTCTTTACACTTGTAAGGTTTNTAAAGAACTTCCTGTGTTCTTTACATTTGTTAGGTGTCTGTCGAGAATGAATTCTCTGATGCTGAGTAAGATATGAGCCCCGCTTAAAGGCTTTTCCACACTCTTTACATTTGCAAGGCTTTTCTTCAGTATGAACTCTCTCATGCATATTAAGATGTGAGGAAGAAATGAAGGCTTTTCCACATTCCTTACACTTGTAAGGCTTCTCTCCAGTATGAATTCTCTTATGCACAGTAAGACTGGAGGAATAAGTGAAGGATTTCCCACATTCCTTACACTTGTAAGGCTTCTCTCCTGTATGAATTCTCTGGTGCACAGTAAGACTTGAGGAAGACGTAAAGGAATTGTTGCATTGCTCACATCTGAAAGGTTTCTGTCCAGAATGAATTCTCTGATGTCGATTACGGTGTGAGTTGTGCTTAAAGCCTTTTCCACATTCCTTACACTTGTAAGGTTTCTCTCCGGTATGAGTTCTACGATGCACATAAAGACTTGAGGCACGAATAAAGGATTTGCCGCATTCTTGACATTTGTAAGGTTTCTCTCCAGAATGAATTCTCTGATGCCAAGTAAGGTATGAGCCCCGCTTAAAGGTTTTGCCACATTCCTTACATTTGTGAAGCTTCTCTCCACCAAAATTTCTCTCATGCATATTAAGTCCTGAGAAAGAAAAGAATTTGCTGCACTCTTTATATTTGTTAGGTACTTCTGCAGAATGAATTCTCTGATGCTGACTAAGGTGTGAGTCCCACTTAAAGGCTTTTCCACATTCTTTACACTTGTAAGGTTTTTCTCCCATATGCATTCTTTCATGTGCAGTTACAATTGAGGAACAAGTGAAGGATCTGCTGCATTCTTTACATTTGCATGGTTGCTTTCCAGTATGAATACTTTCATAACAGTTCAGATGGGAGAATTCACTAAAGGCTTTCCCATATTCTTCACTTTTACAAGCTTTCTCATCAGTGTAAATTCTCTGATGTTTAATCACTTTTGAGAAGTGATTAAAAGTTTTGCCACATTCCTTATATTTGTAAGGATTATCTCCAATGTGGATACCTTGATATATGATAACATTTGACCATTCCTTGAAGACTTGTCTATATTTACTACATGGGTAATGGTTTTCTGGAATCTGAATTCTCTGATGTTTTCTATGGAGTGGTCCTCTGTTATCATTTATTCCAGGATCATTAGATTGACATGTTCCTTCTTGAATGTAAATACCTTGGCAATTTTTAAATATAGAGCCCTTCCTAAAGGCATGCTTACTTTTATTACACAAGTGAGGTTCTCTCTCGTTGTCTATGCACTGATATTCATTAAGCAATGCTGGGTAGACACTCTCTCTCTGACAGTTATCAAAACTGTAGGCTTTAGCATGAGTGGGAATTACTTGTTCATGGAATAATACATCCTTCATCAAGGAATCGTCTATTTCAACATACTTACATATTTTTTCTTCATTATATCTTTGGTCCTCAGAATTAAGTGACTGAGTATCTAATCCACTGCTGTATTTTAAATGATTGAAATGATTATTTGGACCATGGCAGGCCTCCATTTTCAGATTTTTCAAATTTTCTTTCTGAGAAAAGTTATGTTTCAAAACAGGATGATGCCATTTACTCACAGAAAAACATTGTGCTGCAACAGTAACTGAATTAAACTGGGTTTTGTCCTGAGTCACCCCAGGCTGCGGGTCCCCACAGACAGGGACAGGCTTGTCCCGGGGGTTCCTGCCGTGACTCTGCATTCCTTCGTGACGGCCGTCCTGCCCTCCATGCTCAGCTGCACTGTCCCTGTGTGTCCTCAGGTGTGAGTCCCCAGGGTCACGGCTCCCAGATCTTCCCAGGAGCACTCTTCGGAATGAGTCTTTTATGACTTGCTGAAGTAACAATCCTTTTTTGTAATGAGAAGAAAGTGCTGAAATGTGTAAAAGGATCAAATTAACCCAGAAGAATCAGGTACATATACTTTAAAAATCTATGTGAAATTTTATTGTATCTATAACACAGCACTGGACTGAACATTTAGTAATGTACACAACTGTGAGTAGCATTTTATATCAACTATAGTTCAATTCAAAAGTCACTCTGCTGATGGCAAGTACACACATGTATATTGAAACTTTTAATACTGTTATATTTGAGCAGAAAATACTTTTTTAGTACTGGCATGGAGTTTAATACTGATGAATCACTTCATGGATTTACAGTAAGATACAATGTGCCATCAATAGCATGAAGTGATGAGCAGCACATATACAGGAGTAGTTTTACTACCTGAAATTGCCCCCATCTATAGATTGTTACAAATTTAACGTTTTATGTAATACCCAAGAAAATACACATGGAAGACATTCAAAGGGAAATAAGAAAAAGAGAGCATGAACAGAAGAAAAAACACTAAACACAAAGAAGGCAGAGACAGAAGAACATATGTCAAAGATACCCAGAACACACACAGAGTAACTTTTACAGAAAGGCAATGGACAACGCTTGATTCCCATTCATTA